ATTTGTACATTTAATCGATAGTTCATCAATTGACCTATCTGCACATTTAATCGATAAGTAAATTACAAAATTTGAGTTTTGGGTATCTATCGTCCCCAACAGTTTAGTTCTTTGAAATATCATTAAACTAAAGTACTTAGTGCTAAAACATGGCAAATACATTCTTCGTCAGATTTACGGAAGACTTTTTATAGACTTAATATTGGAAAGTGAGGTCTGTCAAACGTGTGAAGTTGGTTACATATAAATGAATTTGAGTTTGAAAAGCCACTGTTCAAGCTTTTGATATAAATAATCCCATCTCCTGACATTAATCTTGAATTATCTCATATCTTCATATGAATGCACATTTCCTATAAAATCCAGTGTCGGGTTAAATTTTGACTTATATCTGCAGTTCACACATATCTGTCCTAAAATATGCTTTTCATACTCTATTATCCTTCACCCTTCTACAAACTGTGTTTCTCTTCCAAAAATTAACGACAGTACGTCTGTGACTTCAAAGGTATTCGTATTCAAAAGTTCTAGGTCTTATATTCAGCATAGTAGTCAGTTTGCTAAGTTACTATTAGCAATTTTTTCAATTTTATGTAAAAAAAATTACTTGCTGTTTTGTAGTTCAATCAGTTATCAGTCATACAATCTTTTTTTTTCGTCTTTGAAACTTGAAATTTCATATATGAATAGTAACTTATAACCATAATATATATATATATATATTTCTCTACAAAAAGCGTTGGCACAATCACGTAAACCATCTGAAATCTCTAGCACTGAAGAATTATCACAAGGTCAAAAGCCACTACCTAAAGTCATTGGTAGATTATGTAAGTAAATAATTTAATAATAAATTGATTTATTAAAGTAAACTTTGCATGTTACCAACTTATCAAATAAATAAAATAGCACTAAAATTTTCATGAATTAACCTTATGAATTTATGAAATTTTACATTTTTTTTCAATCTTCAATTTCTTTATGAAACATTAAAGATTTGCTCAAACCATTTACTTTTTATAAGATTCATTTAATTTCATATTCACATGGGCATTTGTAAAATGTTGTCAAGTATTAATATTATAAATTCAAATTATTACATTGTGTATATTTTATGTTTGTTGTTTTGTTCAGTATAATTATCTATGTATAACATTATTCCAATATTAACTTTTGTTTTAATAACTTTAAACTGAACACAATCAAAATAAGGTTGCACTATTACACTCATCTACGTGTTTAAATAAGTGGTTGACAGTTTGCAGAAATTTGTGTAAACAAATATATATTTAATAGTTGAATTCATGAGTCAATTAAAGCTAGACAACCATGAGAACTCTGGAAACATTCGACGGCCGTTTCGTACTAGTATGAAACTCCTCAGTAGTGAGCACCCCTCCCCGCCAGATCTGAATTCAAGACCCATCGGTCTGGCACGTGGACACTTAACTTATAGACCACTGAGCCGGCATCCAACAGTTATTAAAAAGGGATTTTTTTCTTAGACAACTACATTTATCCATTTTTTTGCATCTGTTATCATTAATCAATTCGTTTATGCCAACAGACTTTTAGAAAGTGTTATCTTTTATAAACTTTATCAGTTAGATAAGTTAACTAAATCTAATACACACTTTAAGTAGAGTTAATTTTCAACATTTGTTTAAGTATAGTTTTTTTAAATTTTAGATTACAGTTAAAAACAATACGGTGTATTAGAGAAATGAGAATATTTCTAATTTAATATTTTTTTCCTTTCACACACTTTACTGAATTCAAGTTTACTGTGTACTTTTAATTGAATCTATTCATTGATTTGGTGATAAACAACAGCACTTAGAGGAACACTTTAGTAAAAATCGCGTATTGATTTTATGAGTTTTATTTCTGTTATTTGATTAAAACTAGCTATTATGTATTATTACATTAGTGAATAAATTGAAACACTAATTTACTCTTATCCTTTTTCCTTTTTAAACTCTTCCCCACCAATTATCTGCAGCCGTATTCAAGGATACAGGTTTGTCACTTATGTAAATTAAATATTGCTTATTTACGTATCTTGATGTAATGAATTACATTTGTTTACTTTTGGGAAGAAAGTTGCTTAACTAACCTACTACGTAACCACACAAATTCAAGCTTTGTTGGCAATATTTTAAAGATATTTATTTCGATCTGAGCAATTACTCACATGGAAAATGGCAATATTTTTAAGCATAGACATTCTTCATTCATTTTTGAGAAAAGATAACATTTCACATACAATCGTTTCCCTTCATCGTGTATATCGAACTCGCTGTTTTGCTGTTGACAAAAAGATCAGTCAGTCTTCAGTCTCCAGTAATAAAGATAGTAGGCTGGTGGACCTGTGTTAATCCTGACAGTTTACCTTCTAGTGAAGGTCCAGCTTCTCGAAAATGTTTACTGATGGGGCTGATTCCACTTGTTCGGGTAAGGCGTCCCAGTAATTGACTGGGACGGAACCCCACTTCAAGTTCATTAGATCGCGGGTTGTGAACCTTCTTAGTATGACCTCGGAGATTATTAATGCTGGAGGTACCGAAATGATAAGACGTATCAACATCCAAATTGTAATTAAAAATAGAAGATGCCAATATACGACAGTCAGATAACTAACCAACATTACATACATGTTGTTTTGAGTTTGCTGAAAACATTTCACCGCTCTTAATTGTCACAATTTTCTCTAACGAAATCTAAATTAGTATACAACATTTTTGGTGATTGTAGAATTTTCACAATTTCGATCATGACCTAATCTTAGCTATACTACTACTGAAAACATAGGAGGGCTGGACGGTCGTTCGTAATCGTGCACCATTGAGGAATTATTGAATGTTTCCTAATTTTCAAAGGTTTCCAAGCTCAGGTCCTTAATTTCTAGAAAATAACAACACATTTTGCGTAATTTCATTGATTTCCATATGAATGGAATCGAAGAAATAACGACAGATACAGTACTGTGGTGATTGCGCGTCATTTACCCATCAAATAATTAAGTTAATAAACGTTTGTGAGCTTAAATAATCAACAGATAACATAAACTTAGTGTATCCCTGTGAAATTATTGTTCTGTATTTAATAACTGGTCAAATTTATGCAAATCGGAGATATCTGCATATAAGCCCTACGATTATCTCAGTAACCTCAGTTCGCTACTCCTTTCCACAAAGTATTTAATCAGTAGGTCTCTAAATGCCAGTTAAGACGCATTTTCGTGGTTGTGAATCAAGATAAATAACTCATACCAAGAATGATGATGAATCAAAAAATCTCTGTGACTAAGTTAGCGTTCTTGCTTCGAACACACAGGTAAAGCAGAATTTCCTGAGCGCAAAATTACTCGATATCGCTCTGTTTTTATGCTTCAAAAATAAAACAGTGATATCCGGGCTGCTAAACATTCAAATACTTTAAAATACCCGCAGAATAGACCAGATATTGGGATCCTTAAATCTGATAAAGGTTCTAATGCACTTGTTATGATTAAATGTGACTACAAATAAAGAAAGTTATCCCTTCTAAGTAAAAAATATAGGTTTGTGTTTCCTAGAATACAACTAAGGCTTTGCAAAGTGCCTCTTTAACAGAACTAATCAAATATGCACTAAAGATGCTTTTAAATAAGACATGAAGCTGCTGAGTAAGACATTGATATTGAAGAGTTTTTCGCTGAAGCTAGACAACAGATATCGATATTAAAACTTTCTAAAGACAGCCAGCCCTATGTGTTGTCCGATCTCCATTAGTGTGCGAACGTTGAAGGAGGCCAGTTTGTGTGATATACGTGGTTTCAGAAAGACTTGGTATTCGTAGTCGGTGGTAGCATCCAACTTTCGACCGGTCAGTAACTCGAGATCGTTTAGATAGGACAGGGTTTCCACCATAGGCGAGCTTCTGTATAAGTCAAAAAATAAGGATGCACAAAGTGGAAATGAATGAAAGTAGTATATAGAAAAAAGAAAAAAGAATGGGAATTGTCTGAATTTTAATCGAGGCGAAAATATTGTTTTCAGTAATTATCGTCATTTCATTTTATTTGTGTGTGGGCTGTGATACTACCCAAGTGATTAGGCCGAGGCAGATTGTTTTCTAAAGGGGCCACAACCGGAGCCTTTGATTAAAACGTATAATCTACAAGGCAGTGGAGCAAAATAAGGAGATACAAACCCATGGTAGCCGGTGACCAACAATAGGTTCATAGGCCTTTTGCTCCCTTAGGATCATGTAACTCATATGCACCATTGGTTTGGGATCAGGGTTTTCCAACTCCTCTAGGTGGATCCTTCGTGTCCACCAATCCGGGTAAAGTGCCAGACATTCGCTTTTCATCCTCTCAATTTCGTAAACAACACCCCTTCTGCGAGAAGGCAGTGAGTGGGACTTCCCTAGTAGTTGTTGTATGCACGTGGCCATGTGAAAGCGTTTCGAGAGGGAGAGCTAACTCTCTCCACTCTCGGCCGTACATATATAAATATACACATCTCCCCTTTGACTTGAATAATTTCACATAAAAATGATCAAATTTGTATTTTGATTTGTTCGTCTATACCAATTAAAATGGTGTTAATTTATTTTAATTATTTATTCTCTGAAAGAACAATTTAATCTAAGTAGTGTAACGTCAGAAATTCAATTCTCTACTCACTGGAATATAACAACTTTTTTTTTATTATAAATAATCTACTTCATGTTCTGGTTATTTGAGTACATCAAGTCAAACTTTGGTAATGATTCTTATAAACAGTCTTTTTTATATATAGAATTATAATTTTACTTGCTTTTTTAATAATCTTCATGTATTTTATTTTTTAAGACTTTTAATATAACTTGTAAACATTATTTTAAACGTATCTAAACAATATTAGATATTAACTGTTAACAGAAAACCTATTGGCTGATTTGCTTAGCAAAGAAGCAATAATTTACTCCTACAGTATGAATGATTATATTAGCTACACAGATTATTTTTAGTTAATCAAATGCTTTATACCACGACTTGCATGGGTATAAAACGTTTTTACAAAAGGAAACGTACTATAAAGCAGGTTAAATGTGAGGTTAACAATTGGATGGAATACCTTATTTTTTTTCTCAATTTATCTTTGCCTCTCAATCACAAAATGATTTAAAATGTATTTATTATCAAATTATGTCTGAAGATGATAAGGCGATATTCCGAAATAAATCAACAAATAAACAGCTCTATAACATACTTGTTTACGCTTTAAAAGAATTTTCATTATTCACTTATCAGGTATTTTATATTACAGCATTATCATCAGAAAAAAGGAGATATTCAGTACAGAATGCATCCGGATCTGGAGGTCAGTTTGTTCCACTTGTTAATCTGTTTTTTTTTTCTATTCATTCGCTATCTAAAAAGTTTGATTACACACTAAACGGTTTATTTTAACATCTTTGCTACCCTGGCCAATCAGTAAATGAATCATCAAACCAATGATAAGAGAACTATCGGCTCAGTGGAGCATATGTTCGAAATTAAACATTTCCTTTAGGCAATATAAACAATTTTCTTACTATACTAATCTGTAGGTCGGTTATTTCTTGTTATATTTGAATCTTGTTATACTGCTAATTAGTTCAGAGATATTATATATATAATTCAAAATTAAAAGAACTGTATGAATCAGTAAACGTTATGAATTAACTCCCTGTTATTTTTAATTTCAACTAAATGTCCATGAATATCATAATTATCTGGCTATATTATCAGATTTTTTAGTTGAATTTTATTTTATTAAAATAAGACCTTTATAAAAAGGTTTACGAAATTAGCTATTGATTAAAATAATGTATCTGCTCAAAATGTTTGGATTTTTTATTTTATATCTAAATCAGCCCTTCCTCCAAGAAACAGTCCACGTGCAACACCATATTTGAATACGCCAGTTACATCAGCTGGACGTAAGTAATGTAACTTCCAATTTTTTTGTTTCTATCATTTGTTTAGCAAAGATTCACAAGCTCTAGTTTATTATATATATATTCATGATCGCTAATCATAAGTTTAGTGATGTTTAGTTGCAAAACAATAAGGATAAATTTTAGTAAGTCATCGTTCTAAAGTAAATAGCGACTCATGAAAAAAATCAATAGAGGTTTTGGTTGCTTGGATGGGACTGAATCGTTCAGTTTATATATTTGAAAGATTTTAAAGGCAATCATAATTCGATTACTTTTAAACTCAATAAAATTCGTGGTACACTCAGAAATTTTGAACTTGTTCCACTCGCACACATTGTAATTGACCTACTTAGTTTAGCTGAAATTAACTCGTACACTATGAAAACTGTAATGAGCGTAGTTTCGTTAAACGTTCATCCTGATAACTGCTATTACGGGGACCCCATGGGACGGAATTCAGAAGGCGACATAAAGCTGCGACTACAACTCAGTAGCTGGTCGTGCCGACCACGGCATTACAGACACATCAAGCGGATTTGAAGCAGAAAAGCTAATGAATCGTTGCAAGCAAATATAGAGGCAAATTTATTGTCACAAAAAATAATGTCATGGAGAATCAAAGTACAGTTTGTTTTTATAATACGGGCACATATATATGAGAACTCCACTTGTAGCTCTTCTAGGGCTACTGCCGGTCCCAAGTCCGCGTTATGGTGGAGGGTTGGGCGTGTAGTCGGCAACCTCATCCCGTAGAAAACAACCTTGCTAAAAAAACGCTAACCAGAATAAACAATTTAAGCCATGTAAACTATGTCCTTCAAATTCATGAAAGTATTATGACGCCTCATGATGAAAGTAGAGATTCTTACGAAGTCTCGAATCCGACGCCCTTTCTAACAACTAGAACAACAATTTTGAAAGGTACATAGAACATCCGGAGAGCAAAGGTTAGACACGGCAGAGATGCTGCTGTACTCCGGTCACGATGAAGAAAATGTTCCATACACTCAAGTTGTTCTGATGCCGGCCAAAGAATCACTAATTGCACTTATGGGATGGGAATCTCATGGATCCAGGATCATCAAAGCATCCTACAGAACAAAGTAGGAGGAAATAACAATGAACGTTTTCCAAAGTTATGCACCCACCAATGATATCAATGACAACAGTGAAGATCACTTCTACGAGAAGCTGCAATCAATCATAGCGAAGTGCCCACGAATGGATCTCACCATCCTAATGGGAGACCTAAAAGCCAAAGTCGGAATGGACGACAACGGTTATGAAGATATGGTGCAACGACATAGATTGGGAGAAAAGAACGAGAGTGGCGAGAGATTTTCAAATCAATGTGCATTCCACAAAGTGGTTGCTGGTGGCTCAATATTTTCACACAAACGTATACACAAAACTGCATGGGTCTCACTGGACCACATCACGGAGAACCATATAGATCATAATTGTATCAATAAAATATTCAGAAGGACAATGAGAGGTATGAGGATGAGGAAAGGAGCTGAAATGGCTTCAGATTATCATCGACTGGTGGTTGCCAACATGAAACTGAAGCTAAAGAAACATTGTACAACCGGACAAACAGCATTACAAAGTTTCGATACAGACTTGCTTCGACATACTGACAAACTCAACCAATTCAAGATGACACTCAACAACAGGTTCCCAGACTTACAAGAGCTACTGAAAGAAGCGGAAAATACTATGGAGGGCGACTGGGAAGAGATCAAACAAGCACTAACTTCAACGTGTCAGGAGATTACGGCTCGCAAGAAGCATCATCATGAAGAATGGATCTCTATGGAAACCCTAGGCAAGATTCAAGAAAGGAAGGAGAATATGAAGGCAGCAATTTACAGCAACCAAACAAGGACAGAGAAAGTCATAGCACAAGCTGAATACACAGGGGCAGATAAGCTAGTGGAGAAGAACATTGTAGAGAAAACAAGCAGAAATACGTGGAAGACCTAGCAACGACTGTGGAAAGAGGTGCTACACAAGGAAATGTGAATCAACTATATGACACAACGAATAATCTAGCAGGCAAATATCGTATAGCAGAGTGATCAGTCAAGGACGAATAAATAAGCCAATTTGTGAACAGATGAACAGATGGGTAGAGCAATTTGAACACTTCCTGAATAGGTCAACTCCCCTGAATCATTCGGATATTGAAGCAACAGACACAGCCCTATAAATGTCACTCCACCAGCGACCGAAGGAATCAGGATGGCCGACCACTAGACAGTTCTTGAGTAGGAAAACAGCAGTATTTGAGAGTATACAGGCCGAATTACTGAAGTCACATATAGAAATAACTGCAAAGGTACTCTCACTTTCTATTTGGTAGGAAGAACAAGTGCCACTGACAGATTGAAAAGAAGGATACCTCATCAAGATCAGAAGGGAAGGAGGTCTGAGCAAATGTGAAAACTAAGGAGGCATCACATTACTGTAAGTACCAGGAAAGACTCAGTAGACACAAAACTTCTAGATCAACAGGTTGGATTCCGTAAAGATCGGTCGTGCACAAACCAAATCGCGACACTACGGATCATCGTTGAACAGTTAACTGAATGGAATTCGTCATTATAGATCAACTTCCCTGACTGTGAGAAGGCGTTTGACGGTGTGGTTAGAAGAATATTATGGAAAATTCTTCGACACTATGGAGTGAGTAGCTGAGAAAATCGTTAACATCATCCGGAATGCATACTATGGACTGCAGTTCAAAGTCGTGTATGAAGGATAGCAGACAAACTCATTTCAAGTATGGACCGGATTCAGACAAATCTGCTTACTTTCACTCTTTCTCTAGTTGACTGGATTATGAAGACCGACATTTGAGGGAAAGCACGGAATACAATCGAAAACTTGGATGCAACTGGACTATTTGGACTTTGTAGACCACCTAGCACTTCTATCCCATGTACATCAATTAATAATGGTCAAGACAACCAATGTAGTAGCAGCCTCTGAAGCAGTAGACCTCAACATACACAAGAAAAAGAGTTGGATCCTCAAATGCAACACAGAGAACACCAGCTCAATCTCACTTCATGGAGAAGCTCTGGAATAGGTGGAATCTTTCACTTACCTTTGAAGCTTCATTGATGAACAAGAAGGATATGATGCAAACTTAAAGGCGAGGATTGGTAAAGCAAGGATAGCATTTCTTAACTTGAAGAACACATGGATTTCAAAACAACTGTCAACAAATAATAAGTCAGAATCTTCAATACGATCGTCAGGATAGTTCTACTGTACAGAACTGAAGCTTGGAGAACTACTACAAGCATCATCAAAATAGCAGAAGTATTTCTAAACAATTTTCTACGCAAGATACCGAATGTGATTTGGTCGGATACGATCAGCAACAGCCTACTATGGGAGAGAACAAAGCAACTTCCAACTGAGGTGGAAATCTGGAAAAGACGTTGGAAGTGGATAGGACACATCGAGGAAATCATCAAACTGCATCACGAGGTAAGCCATAACTTGGAATCCTGAAGAGAAACAGGAAAGAGAAAGGTCAAAAAACACTGCGTTTGGAATTGGAAGCAGACGTGAATAGGATGACCAGTGACTTGAAAGAATTGCTCAGAAAAGAGTTTGATGGCGATCGCTGGTGAGCGGCCTATGCCCCTCCACGAAGGGTAACAGGCGTAAGTAAGTGCATCTATATGAGGGATGGAGAATTATACATCGAGTTATATTTAAGCGATCAATATTTGACTCAGACAGAAATATACGTTTGCGTAGGTATCATAGCGGTCCTGCTAATACAAAGAAATAAACGACTTATTACTATATCTATAAAGTTGTCCGTCAGATTAAAGTGCTTGACCGTTATCAAAATTAATCGTAAGGGTGTCACTACAAATCTTTAAATATATATACATCAATGTTCAAAGTTAATTACTCTGTTCTTTGTTTACTCTTTTCAGAAGTTTTGTTGTATAAAAGCCCTCAATATTTACAAACATTGGATTATGTTATGAAGTTATTTTTTCAATCTAACAATTTAGTTCAACTGTTTGTTTGATTTTACTTGAGTTACACAATATTTCACTTACCAAATAAACTAACTGAACAAACTAATAAAAGAACTGATTTTATTCCGCAATGACAACAAAGAATGACTGGTATTGAAGTATAGGTGTCTTCATTATCACTATAATAATGACTAGATGCTCTGTCGTATGATTTATGAAACAGAAGTGAGAATAATACTTCAGTTTCCACTCAATTGGCTATATATATATATCATTTAATGTATAGCTAATTTACGCATTTCATTATTAAGTTCTGAACCTAGGTTTGATGTTAGATACATTCATTGACAGAATGTGTTTATCTACTTCAGAAAACTGATAATCCCCAGAGCTTGAACTCCGTGTCATACAGCATTATAGCCGCAAAATGGAATCCGTACACTAATTATGCCTTGACTGATTTTCTATTTGCACTTGGTTCGCCACCAAATGGTAATCAATATTGTGCTGTTTAATCTTTGGTGATGATCAATAGAAATCGACTAGACGTCTATCAATAGTTTAGGGAAAAGCACCAAAGTATTATAGTAGTGAGAATAATTAACGTGAAAACAATTTATCCTGTGTTTATATTATTTGTTGTTTGTATTCATACATTGCTTAGCATTTGAACTGAAAGAATTTTTCATAAGAATTATTTGTAATCTCCTTTTTCTGTGTGTGTAATTTAATTGCGTTATATAACATAGTCTCTAAATTCTAGTGACGGTGATCTATTTTCTTGAAAATTATACCAACTATTTAGCAAGCGCTGGCTAATAAAACTCTTGTAAAACATAAACAAATTAAAAGAAGTTATATAAAACACAATAAATTATTTCAAACAACTGACATCCATAATTTTTAAATTGTCACTATTTAAATAACCTTAATAGTATCCTTCATTACACAACATTAGCACAATCTCTCAGAGGTGTTCGATTCCACAGCTTACTGACAACAGTACATAGGTTTCTAGATAAAACTTGTGCAACACTAAGGATCAGGGTAAAAAATATTAATTATCATTTAATGTTTTATATGCTTCAACACACCTGAGGGTCAACCAAAATCTGAACTTTCAATTGCTTTATTCAAAATGGAAACCGATTATTGTAAATAAGTGTTAATTTTATAAATAAGAAGTCTACAGCCTTCTAAGAATTATTTTCCAATAGTTAACATATAACTATAAGTAATTTTAAACTACAAAATGTGAACTAATATATATTAAAATGTTAATTGATTACTCAGTTTTATTTTCATTATTTTTAACTAAATCATCATTGACAGGAAAATACAAATGCTATGAGATCTATGTTTTGGCATATCATTATTTCTAGCACATTATAGATAATAACTCTTTCCAAACTGTTGATATTTCTATGGTCTGATAGTGTAATATTTTAGTGCATTTATTGTTAAACAGACTTGACATACATGATTGAAATAATAGTAGATCTGTGCAATTTATAGATGTGAACATTTAAATGTTTTCAGTTCAAGATGATTTGATGAAAGTAACCGCAAGAATTTTCAAAAACATCCACACTCATAATTTCTCACTCACATTTCTCTGGGTTTCTTCATAATTTACGCTTGTTGTGAAAAAGGCATTTCAAAATAATATAATTTTAATGAAGCTGAATGATTAAAAAGTAAACATTTAATTTTAAGAATATATATATATATATATATATATATATATATATATATATATATATAAACATTTAGAAGATAATAATTTCGAATAAATTGAGCATTGGGTAGATTGTTATAAATAAATAATATATTTGTAAAATCCCAATGAGTAGAAAATTAGATTTTCTGACGTTTCGTGGCTTAGTGTAAGTCACTTCTTTTATTCTCTGAAGAAGTGGCTTACACTAAGCCGCGAAACATCAGGAAATCTAATTTTCTACTCATTGGGATTTTACAAATATATTATTTATTTATTTAGAACATAACGTTTTTTTCTAAAATACAACTATATACTTGTATATAATTCTATCTTGTTCAATGCTTACTAAGACAATATTTATTTGTGATTAAGTTGAAACAAAATCACTTAGATTGTTTATTTACATTGAGTTAACAGTTAATTATTTTTTGTTTATGTATCTCAGCAATACCTGTATCATCGACAATTCCAAGAGCATCGATCGCATGTAGTAAGTTTACACATTTGTTTACTGTTCCTAATCTCTGTTGTACATAATTACATCAAATATTTTAAAAACTAGAATTTCACATTACAAGTTATTTCAGTTTTAACGATTCATTTATTGTTTTATATTCATTCATAAATAATATAGACCTGACATATATATGCATCAGTTCACATTATTAAACTATATCAACACTGAGAGATGAATTTGTGAAAATAAATGTCAGGATAATAGAAACAATAACCGTATCAATGGTAGTAAAGAAAATTGAGCATAGACAATATGATTTTAGAAAAAAAGAATGAAGTCACGTAATAAAAAATTAAGGACAGTTCTAAAACTGAAGATTTAAGGAAGAATGAATGAACCTACAAAGTTATTATCCCATTAAAGTAATTCAACCTGTTAATTTAGTAATAGACATATTAATTTACAAACTTAAAAGAAACTAAACAATCAATGTAAACGGATAATAAAAATTTATTTCACTTTATCATCTGATTGTTTATAGAGTCACTTTAAATGTAATTCATTGTGAAGAGTAATATGATTGATTTAATAATATTCACTGTGTCATTTAATCAAACATTTCATGCCACACTTATATTAAATCTTTCGATGTTATGCTTTCAAAATGAAATTACTATAATCTCCGCAAAACCCCTTCTGATACTAATCAACATATGCTCACTAGTGACTGGCTTCAAAAGGTATATCCTGGAGTTCTAGTGGGAAGCAGTGACCAGTGGAGTTCAACAGGGTCAGTTGTGAGGTAGTAACTCACTGATGACAATGGTGGATGTGCCGCTCAATTTTGTGGATTAGTTGAAGTTAGACATTAACACTGCTGGATGCCGGCTCAGTGGTCTAGTGGTTAAGAGCTCGCGCGGGAGGCTGGTAGGTCCTGGGTTCGAATCCCGCGAGGCGGGATCGTAGACGCACTGCTGAGGAGTCCCAGGTTTTCCATGTTCATCTAGCTTCAATTGACTCATGATCTCAACTATTGAAATCAAACAGTTAATGTTTTATAATCAAATGACATCAATGTATTCAAGGATAATTAAATTGGTATCACAAAGAGTTTTGTGGATATTATAGTAATTTTATTAGTTGAGATCATGAGTCAGTCGAAGCTAGACCACCATAGAAAACCTAGAAGCACTGGACGGTCATTTCATTCTACTGTGGGACTCCTTAACAGTGCGCATCCACGATCCCAGGACCTCTCAGTCTCGCTCGTGAGCGCTTAAGCTCTAGACAATTACAAGCATATAAATATTTTTAAAATTGACTTAATTTGCTCTAAATGTTTTAAAATAAAAATAATTATCAAACATAAAAGATTAATGTTTATCATTTCATATCAAATGGTATTTTCTTTTTTTACTAATCCTATTTCAAACTGAAAAACAACATATCTAATTGCTAATTAACAAAATAATGATGTAACAATGATATCTATTTATATTTCATCTCTGTTAAAATAATAATCGCTTATATTCACATAAATATATATGTATATTAAAGCTTTATATCTGTATTTAATGTCCAATATATCTTTAATCAATACATGAAAAGTAAAGAGCTATGATAGAAATAACTGCAGATTTCCTTTTTGCTTTGGTATTCAAAAATGTTTTATACTCATCAAATGTTTTTATGTTCTTCTTTACTGGCCAACTAATTCGCATTTTATTTATTTAATTTTATTTATTTATTTTCTTTTCATTTGAAAAATTAAAAAGTTCAGTTTTTCCCTTCATTTTTTTCCATATTATAAAACAAAATTATTGTAATCAAGACATTTGAATCCCTTCAAATAGTATTTGACTTGTAGACTATGCCAATACTTGGCGAACGTACAATGACAGAAGCATTTTGAAAAGTTCTCTAACAGGTAAACCATAATATATATATGTGTAAATGTATATCAAAAATGGATTGTTACAATAAGTAAGCATACGATGTAATTTTGAATGAATGTAATTCAAAAATCATTCAAATTACTAATTAGCATTCATATGTTGACTAAATCCAAAGGTAAGATTTATGTTAAACTGGAAGCAAATGAATGTTGATTTATGTGCTAGTAACATTTCATGTTTTTCTGTAAATCCAATTATGTAATCAGTATATTTTAGAAAGGGATGATAAATGAAATTCTATTTAATGATTAACTTATTCTACCTAAATTTTATCTGCATAACGGTTTTGTCACTTAATGCACTGACTTTTATGGTTGAACATATCGATTAAAATACTGTTATGATTTTTATTAATCTAAGCAATTTTATTAACAGTTAAAATACAGAGAATCTCTTTCTGTTTTGACAATTTCATCCAAAGTCTTCAACCACAAATAATAACTAATGTGCAGGCGTTAGTCAAGAAAGTTTTCATTTCATTATAGTTGAATGGCATTTAGCATTATTATATTTACTTTTATCCTGTAGCAGAAGCTTGGATGGATTTTTAAAAAAATCCTTATTCATTTTAAATTACCCATAAAATATATTTCATAAGTGTATAATGATCTTAAACGGTTTAAGTCTAATTAATGAAACCATTGAAGAATAGTGTACAAGTACAGATTTTTCGGTTATCATATATCAATTCACTTAAAATTAAGCTTTTAATATTGTAAAAAAAGTCAAAAATACATTTTAGTTTGGTCAAATTATTTACGTTGTTTGTTCTCATGTTCTTAATATCAATCTAGTAAATGATTCAGGCTATAAAGTAGATTATACAAATGAAACATATAGAATATAATCACAAATCTACGTCGAATAATGAAAATTTAACAATTATTTTCATTAATAACTAACTTAATAACTATGTACATAGAAAATATATCATACTTTTGTGTATGATACACTACTGTGGTGTGTGCTACTTATATTGACATAAATAGTATGTGATGTTAGTCGTGAACAGAAGGTCTGGCAGCAGAGAGACAAAAGAATCGGATAGTAAGGAATGGAAACAGAATGCAATTTGTATAAAAATTCAAGGACAATGAAGTTTGAGTGATTTTGAGACAATTGATGGACATTTTGCAAATTAAGCATTTACTTTATGATTGTTAGATTTTATTAAGAAGTCCTGTAATTTTGTGTTAAATACATTCGATTGTCCCCACTGGTGTTCTGTTCACTACACTACCATTAGTATGATTAGATGACGTACTAATGTAGAAACAGTAATAATTTAATAATAATTTATTAATATAAATCAGTATGTGCAATATTAAAATTACTAACAAAATAGTGTTGTGAAGAAACACTTTCATTTTGAACAGAACACATGAATTGAATTAACGGCTTGATTTGTCTAATAATTAATTTTCTCTCTCAGTCTCACACAATCACATACAAACAGGCATACACTTTCACTTTTGACTTGACTGGTAACTAGTAGAATTATGTTTCCAATTATATTAAAACGTTAAAATATGACTTTGATAGTATACATAAATTAAAAATCATTTATGCATGATAGAAAATATTTATAATTACCTTGAGTCAGACTTGTGTACTCATGAATAAAGTGAATAGTTTTTCGGAAAGTTTCGTTTGAACTGAAGGTTCTTTTCATTAAAAACTGATTTCAGGGAGGTCTACCAAAACTAAAAGGCTCGTTAATAAACGTCTGACTATTGATAACTTGCTTTGAGATGGATTCCTCAAGGTTTTGAACACAAGTCATGACCTATCAAATCCTACAACTCTAATGCAGCCCATTGATGTCGAAAGACGTTTGCACTGCATCGAAATGACCTAGACAAATAAATTCTGGCAGAGTTATTTTACGATCCCATGTTTTACGCAAGACTTGAATGCTTTATATTTGACTTTGTGTTAGCTTGTGATAGGAAACTAAGGAAAATCAACTTCCCAGTATGTATTAGTTGTTTACTACCTACTTGCTGTAGTTATACTTTTCTCTTTGTTAACCAATTATTTTGAAGTAGGTGTAACTTTTCTTCAAAGGATGTAGAGGAAATAAATCTAACATTGACTCAATTAACTTTAAAAATACAAAATGTATAAAAGCAGTGTTACTTCATTTAAAGTAAAATGAAAATCAGTAAAAGAAACACGTTTCATTATTCACGGAATAATTCTTGCTATTCATGTAAATTTTATTACCAGTTATTTGCTTTTAACTTTTAGTGATAGCTTACTGTCATTCACATTTAATCCATTGACTACTTTTAACAGTTGATGTTTTAACAATACCATTTTGGTGGACTTTCAAATACACCTTATACAGATATGTATATGTCTCTCGTTCACTTAACTGTTTACATTTTCCAATTTTGTTCTGATTAAATCACTGAACTTTTTATGTTCATTGTAACATATATTCATATAGGCTTTAAAAATTATTTTGTTATGATTTAATTTGTCGATAATGTTTACTTGAATTATTTCCAGTGCTTTTAAATAGTGCAATTTTCGACAGAAATAAACAAGCATTACACTAATCACTCTCTACTTACTACACAAAGCCAAGAGTGCTCCAAAAAACATACTATTGTGTATTAGATTAAAATACATTTTTTTTTCAAATCCGTATGACAATAAATGAAGATGTGAAATTCTTGCAGATGAAGAAATTGAAAATCATTCCTAACTAATTAAGAGTTTCATTTTTATAATTTGACTGTATATTTAAAAAGAATCATATTAATGAGAAAAAATTAAGTTATACAAAGTAGTATCCTTATATTTTTGTATTGTTTTTATAGTCCCACTGAGTGTTCAGGCTCAAATTCAACAAAACCAAGCAATTAAATCTGAACAACCTTCTATTGCAAAACGTAAGTAGTTTTGTTAAACATTTAAAATTTAACGACATGTAAATTAAACTAATTGCTTTTGTTTGTTGTAATGATTCATATTCTACTGTTGTTAATATTATGAGTTAAATCTGTAAACTCTGTATAAATATATGCTCTGCTTGAATGAATAGCTCAAATAATTATTTATAATTATAAGGTTATTATAGCTTACGTTTAAAGCACATGCTTTGCATTCCAAGTTCAACCACTATCCCAAATTATTTACTTTGATTCTTTTTATGCTTAATTTACGTTGTTTCACTGTTTATCATATATTAATCACCATTAAATGGAGATCCTCATTCTATTAAGTATGATATGCAAAACCAATCTGAATTGGTTTTTTTTTAAATTTTATAAGTTTTACTTAATATAGAATAATTTTAACTTAGCTGTTCACTTAGTTGAACACTAAACGACATTATATCCATCAATACTTGATATTTAATTAACTACAAACCTGTTACTATTAATTATTTGATAAATGTTAGATAATTCATTGGTTTCTATCATCATATTCCATGTTTATTATGCATAATTATGTATATTAATAAATACCCTTTGAAATAATGTAATCTAGATATTTCTAAGTACATAAATTCTTCCCATTTGAATTTCGCAATAACTACAATTTGAAGAAATAATTTCTACTAAATACATTATTTGTAACTTAATTTTTTGCAGCTACACCATCACCTTTGACAAAAACTTTTGTTACACCTCAAGTAACACCCAGAGCATCTATAAGCAAAGGTAAGCTGTGTGAAAGTTTCATAAAAATCTATGTTCTATGATTAAAAATAATATTGTAAACATTGAAAGATATTTTATTATGGTAATTTAGCATGATACATAGTTTTGAATTAATTGTATTCAAAATGGAATTATTAAGTAAACTTATTAACTGACGAATATTGCAAAGCAACTAACTTGATAAAAAGTCACTAATATATAAGTATTAAGAAAACGAATTTCGTTGATAATTATTATTACAGAATGAATGATATTCTTGATGTTATGTAATTAAAGGCAGTTGAAAGAAACTCTAGATTTTTATTTTTGCACACTTTTGTTAATCGCTAATCAATCTTACAGTTAAACTTAAGAAACATGAATCACTCTAAAAGATCAAACAAGAACTCAACGATAATTACTACCTATAAATTGAGTGTATTGAATTTGATATTCCTTAGGAATAAAAAATCAACAAACTAATCACTTATTGAACAGAAGGAAATGTCATTTGATATAATTATTAACTCTAATTGAATAATATCTTCTATGTTTAAATTATAACCGCTAAATTGACTGCATTGATATAACATTATCTTACAATCTATTTCTTAGTTTTAATGCATAAAACTATCTTTAATCATTTTAAAAATCTATTAAAGTTTACCAATTTAAATCACTAAGCCTTATAACTAAGCTTAAACTACAATCAATAGAATATCATACTTATTTTAACAATGATAAATTAAATAAATAATTCATTGAAGTAAACAATTCAATCTTTAAACAGTATTGTTAATAAGTAACTTAATAAATTCTATCATATAAATCTTCTAAGTTAATAAACAAAATGTCAGTTATCTTGGTTAAATATTAATTTAAAACATGTATTCATTATACAATAATACTTACAATGAAAATCATATATGAAAGAATCCATAAAACATTCAAAACTACTTGTCATGTATATCATATTAGATCATTAATAAACAGTCTAAAATAATAAATAACTAATCTTTCTTTATTATTCTTATTTTAACTAAATTTCAACGATGTATTCACATAGAAACGTTTTATTTATTTATTTCTGTTAAATTAAATAAAACTTTTTTTAATGACAATATCTTGTGCCAAAAAAATATAAATAAGAAAAAGGTAACAATCACACTTAGAGTACATAAACATTTATTAGAAGTATTATTATTGTTATTATTTTGTTAAGATTATTATTAGACATGAACGGCATCTAAACATCATTTTGAAATTTCATAATGCTTGTGCCATTGGAGACTCTTTGATAAACACAGTGTCGAAGGTCAATTATCTTGGTGTTACCTTTTCCTCTGATCTCTCTTGATCTTCCCACGTTTTATTGTTATCGAAGAAGGTTTTCCGTCTGACTTACTACATAAAGAGATTGTATGCTCTTGGGATTACTCGTCATTTACTCTTACAGTTTGTCAATTCTTGCATATTACCTATTATTCTTTACTGTTTTGTATTATTCTTTCACGGGCTTTTGAGAAAAGACTTTGCTGTATTACGGAGAGTGTTGAAGGCAGTTAGCAAGATGTGTGGTGAATCTTTCGAAGTCATAATTAATATGGTTGTGGATACACATTTGAAATCATGCAAACTCCTGGCAGGTGTTATTTTATCAGATACTAACCATCCCCTTCACTCTTATCTTTCTCCTTGTATATCTCCTGGTAGAACGAGACGTAATTACATTAAAATCCATACACGCAAGCAGAAGTGTAAAAGTTCTATAATACCTTACCTAGCAAATATACTCTGTGACGAACAGGCTGTTAGAGTTAACCAAGTCAATAACCTGGATTCTTAACATGTCTCTAATTTGTAAAGTTGTACAGTTTCTCGTTTTTTTTAAACATTTTTATTCCTTCTCTTGTCTTTGTTACTGTTTTTTGTGTGTAAGAAACTTGTTGAGATACCCTGTGCTGAGAATTTCTATATGGTACCAAAATATAATATTGAATAAAGCCATTAATAATCATAATAATCATTATTATTATTAAGATTAAGATTATTATACTCAAATCATTATAGAATAGATAATATGTATTTTAAGAAAAAAATTTTTTCATTTTTTATTTTATTATTAGGTTCTGAATCAGATATAGAACATACTAAAAAACTTAATCGTCTACCAAAATCTTTCCAATGTGATTGTTGTCAACATGTTACTGTGACCAGAATAACATATCATGTTGGTGTTTTAACATGGCTTATGGCAGTGTTAATTTTTTTATGTGGGTAAGTTGTATATAAATTATTTTTTTTATATTTAAAACAAACAATAAAAACCACTAAACAAAATGTCATTAAATAATTCATCAGACAAATAATAATAATTAAAAGAATTTTAAATAGGATTATATTTAATGAATGTATTGATCTGACATAGTTAACATGACCCATAACAGGAATAGTTTTTTTCTTCTTAATATAAAGTGCATTTGGGCGAAATCTAACGATCATTTCAATGAATTAATTAAATATAGTTACAGTGCATTTCATATTATTGTTATTCATTCTTATCCAAAAATAAAAAAAGCACTAAGAGATTGAAATCGCTTCATATCTTTCTTTCTACGAATTAATTCTTTCTTCCTGTACTATATCCTTATATGCAATCTTTCTTTTATATATTGCCACCTTTGAATTATCTACTTTTATGAATCCCGGTGTTCATCTTGTTGTGTTAATGAGGTATGGCAACTTGGACCAATGCATATATGTGCCTGGTCCTACGTTGTAGCTGACTGACTGACTGACTGAATGCTAAATGAAATTTGTAACAGTTACTAAGTTGGAAATGAATACTTATTCAAAAATTTTAAGTTTTTTTAAAAATCATCTATTAAATAAGTATTAGCTTACTTTATTTTGAAAGCTTCAAGGATCTTTGTTCATCTAAAACGTCTTATTGAATATATGGATTTTTTTTCACTTTCCTACCTATGAAGATAATAAGAGATTTACAATGATGTCACCTATTTTACACAACACAAAATCACCAATAACATAGGTATTCTTAATTCATTCTGAATAAATAAGGTAGTTTTGTACAAAATTGTTGTTATATTTCGTAGGGATTTTCATAAAGGATCAATAACAAGTAAATATCCACTGAAAATCAACAAGTATTTGATATCTGTTTTGTTCTTGTTTGCGACTACTCATCAGTGCATTGTGAAGATCATACAATGATCTTCATATCTTACGGTGAATTCAGGAATATTATAACACGACTGAGTGAATACTAAATGGTGTATATTTTAGGACAAATTCACTTTAAAAATTTATAAAACCACGCTAGTCATTGCTTATAGGGTGGATTTCATAGTTTCAGTTGTTGGTCATAACCTCTATAGTCAACCAAGTGGATAATAAACCAGTGATTGAATGATAATATTGAATGGGAATTACAAGAGAATTCCAATTTTTACAATTGGTCATTTGTAAGTGAAAAGAAAAACAACACAAAATAATCTGTCTTCATAAACATTTTAGAAATGATCAAGAGTAATAATACATCAATATATTTATTTCAGTCGAATTGTACAATGAAAATATAGATAGTAAAACACTAGTATGTTGAATGAACAAAGTTAGTATTTGAAATTGAATGATAGTTGAATAATCAAGTGTATCTAATCAATATTTTATTGTGTGATACTAAACAAACTGCATGTACAAACAGAACTCAATGAAACTTCAACAAAATTATTTGTTACTTCAATCTGTTTTCTTTTCGTATTAATTTTTACTAAATATTGAATAAATCAGTATATAATCAGAGAGAGGTTTTGTGAAGATTGTAGTAATTTACCAATTGAATTCATGAGTCATTTGAAGCCAGATCACCATGGAAAACCTGGAAGCACTGGACGGCCGTTTCATCCTAATATGGGGCTCCTCAGCAGTGCACATCTACGATCCCGCCTCACGAGATTCAGACTCAGGAATTATCAGTCTCGTGCGTGAACGCTTAACCTTGAGACCACTGAGCCACTGTATTAAACAAAATGATAACCACTTTATTCAATACCATATATTTACTTAAAATAGAGAGTTCTTGCCAAAATAGATGAAATATTTTAACAATATTCCCGTTTTTAATCATCCAACTTATGTATATCCAAACAATGAGCATAAAAGGTTTCTAATCATTCATTATCAATCATTTATATTCACTCATCCACAAATGTTTAAGAATGGTTATGTTTCCGTAACATTATTTTCTATTGTAATAAATATTTGATGAATGAATTTCATAGTAATCGCCTGTCATTTTCTCATATATTATAGGTGTTAAATGTACAAACCATCTCTTTGATTCTTATAAATTTCCTCAGTAATTGTATCTGCTATAGCCTACTAGAATTTTATGAAGGTTCTTAAGTGTTTCCGGCTGACAGGCACAATTACTCAATTGAAAAAATATCTAAAATAGGAATTTGTATAACAATAGATCTATATTTAATAGTTCAGATGTTTTAGCAACTAGTCATTTATGAAATGCTAACTAATTAAGACTTTGTTAGACATAGTAGTTACTTATATACCATGAAAGTTCTTCAAAACGTTTTGATTTTTCTTGATAATTAATCAAGAACGTAGTCAAATCTTATCCATTTAGATATCACATAATGTTTTTTCTTATGATATCAGCTGATATAAATTTTAGTTAACAAATATATCATTCAATAACATTAAATATTCCTTTTTCTACCTTCTCTTATTTCAATAATCATTGAATATAACAGTGGCGTTCTAGGCTGTTTTCTGATACCATTCTTTACAAATTGTTGTAAAGATGTTAAACATGAATGTCCATTCTGTGGTACAGAAATTGGTATGGTTAAATGTATCTAAATGTGTTTTCTTTTTATTTACTACTGGACAATGAATAGAAATACTTATTTGGTTGGAAATCACTTACATCCTATGAACACATACCATATTTGCGTTTCATAAATATTTTTACTTATGTTCTGTGGAGAACAATTTTTATTCAAAGTAAATAGACTAATCTCAACCACAAAAAATAAAACATGTATTACTTCGAAGGTGTTGCCATTTTATAAAAGAAAGAAAGAAACCCCAGAGACTTTTTTAAAATTATAACTCAAATACTGATTTCTTATTTTGCTGTATTATGTATAAATCAAAAATGAATAGTAATCTGTATCTAATGATATTGTAAACGTAAAATTCTATTAAATATTCAACATTTAACATTTTGATTAATCATTGTAAGTTTATTTCTTACTACTGAAAAGTGTTGATATTTTAATGAACAATAATTTTTTCATTATTATTATTATTATTATTATTATTATTATTATTATTATTATTATTATTATTATTACCATTATGGGATTTGCATCCAAAACTGTATCTTTGTGTTAATGTGATATGGCAACTTGAACTGATGTATGTACGTACAAAGTTCTACCTTGTTGACTGACTGACTGACTGACTGATATATATACTCATGAAATTATCCTATTTTTTATTTTCTTCTAAATATTTTATTTTAATATGGAAACAATTCGTTTTTTGTTTTAAAAATTGAAAATCGAAACAAAAATAATATTTGATATTATTTAAATTGAATTGAAATGTACTTCTTTCTCCTTTTTTTTACTTTTCACTTTCTTTACGTATGATGTATCTGTTATTTAATTGTTTGCCTTTAATGACTTCTTCTTAACTGAATGTATTTATTTATTCAATGTATTCCTTTTTAATGATCAGATATGTATGAATGTTTTCATAAAGTACTAATAAATTTCATAATAATTTTGATTCATCTATTTCTTATAGTTTACTTATTGCAAACAGTTTTAAAGTTTCAATGGTTTCACTTTCTCAAGTTAATACTATTTATATTAAATAAAAGAGTAATATAGTTGCTGGGTAGTTTACTTTAATTTTTCAACAAGAAGAAACCATGGAAAAAAAATACCGGCACCAAGACTAGCCTGTATAATTTGTGCTCAACAGAAGTTTAACCGAAAAAAATCCCTGCTTTTGTTGTTGTTGTGTGATTTTTTTTAGAAAAATAAAAGATTTATCACTATGGATCAATATATTTACTCATTTATTTTTTTAGTGAAGAAATGATATACATAGTCTATTAAGGATTCTAAAGAAAACTATTTTGATAATGTCTCATAATTAATTGAAGATAATTTCATTAACTAGTTTTAAGGTTTTGTTTAAAACTATCTCGGCTTATTACGGAATATCAGTGGAAAACATATCTAGTTGTCTTTCAAAGATTTTCAATTATATATAAATGTTGTTAATTAAGAAAGTTTCACCTAGCGATGGACGTCGTTTAAGTGCCTAAGATTCATGACGATCGTATTTAACTACAAAATATGACCACTAAGAATAAAATAAAAGATAATGACAGAGTAATAATGAGATAACTAATAAAACTTCTCATTTATGTTTCTTAAAGTACTGACATTTCCAACAGTTGAGGTATACCACAGTCTTACTAAAATCGTGTAACATCACTTGCAAGAAACTAGACAGGCAATCAGTTTGGCGTTGTAAGATATTAGAATAAAAGTAGACTACTTCAGTAAACTACTGCATATCGAGAATGGGAAACTGGAGTTAACAGAGAAGAAATACGAAGTTAGAAGCATAAACTATGCTGGGATTCTTGTTACGACAAAATCGAACAGTCTTGAACTAAGAGATCTTCAAGTGTCGTATCAGGAAGGAAAACAATAAAGGCAGCTGTAGCGGTGAATAAATCCCTAAACAAAATAGTTCTGTAAGTCTTTGGCATTGATACTGGCCTGATTAGTTCACTGGGACACACCTAGCTAAGGCTCTAGGTCATGCATCCACACCAGATCACGAGTGAGTACGCCATGATACGCATCTCTTGCGATAGTTGGCCAACTCAGACAACCATTCCTGACATATCGATGGTCTTCCAAATATATCTTCAGACGTCTTCGTTTCTGACTTTTGATTTGACTGGGTTGGCATACTTCGATAATAAGATTCTTAAGTGTAAAGGCGTTATCAGACACCGAATACCTGCGGCATCTTCACAATAACTGATAGGAGAGAAATTCAATTGTAAAAAGGACAAATGTTAATGGCAAGAGGTTACTAAGGCGACTGTTCATAAAGTTATCATGTAACAGTATATTGTTTAATGCGAGTCAACCACTTACTACAAAAGTGTCAATCGTGACGAAAGGCTGTTTTATTTTCTTGATTACTCTTTTGCAATGAACATCTAATCAATATCTCTCAACGCAGGTAAGTGTATTATCACTCCCAGAATGTGCATACATAGATTCGAAATTGTTTAGTGCTGTGACCCGGCTAACGAAATCTATCTCATAAACACTTTGTATCAGAATTTAATATCTAGTTATCAGGTGTAGCGGATTATCTAAAAGGATTTTTCTAGAAAGCAAACGCACTTAAAATGGGTCTAGACTAACCTTGGTCAGATTTTGCCACAAATGTCGTGAACCCAACATGAAGGGATATAGGATATATGATTAGGATGTTTCATTTCACTCGGTTATTTTTAACTCAATTTACCACCCATGATTCGACCTTAAGCATCACAAAGTAGGATATCTACTTTGGACAGTACACGAAAAACCGTTTAAAACTCGTGTGAACTCTTTGAGGTTAGAATAACTAAGTTGCCGAATTTCCAACACGAAGTAAAAAGGCGGTAGCCCCTTTTGCTAGGTCGGAACTCAAAAGAGCTCAACATCCCGCAAGATTCCGTGTATTATGATGGATTTTACTGAAAATTTTAATCTAAAATCACTTGTTCCACCTTTAACCTGAGTTTTTACCAATCTTATTTAGAAAGAACAAAACAAAATTTAAGTGTCTTTCCACCCAGGATCTCCTAGTACTACTTATAGTAACAAAATCACTATACACTTATAAACCACAACCTGATCCAAAAAAATAAATTATAGGCAGGACTAAGCTGGCAGGCCAGTCATCATTCATAAGTTAAGAGAATCTTCCGAAAAGTAACCAAAGGCTAGATCTCAACACGACCTAAGTCACAATTAAGTTCTTAATAGGCAAGCAACTGTAGTGACTCACATTTACCACGAGAACACGACTGGTTTAATAAAAACAGATATTATTATAACCAACTGTACCAGTGTTTGTTTTAACGTGCTTTTGTTTGACTGTGCTAATGACAGCTATTTTGTGCTTTCATTCTTATACTCACACTTTGATTGTAACTTCGTGCGAATTCGGTTACGTTCTGTAACCAAGCTTGTATCCTGGCACGATCTCGGTATCCTTTCGATGCCACGAGATCACCAGCAAATAAACATCGACTTGGTCCATTAATTGTCTTCTGATATTTGGCTTCTCGGAGATTTTATGGGTTTCTTTGGTTACGTTCAACCTTCGCCTTCTGATTTATTTGGCACGTGTTTCTTGGTAGCGGTGTTCATAGTTAACCTCAACTCGACACCACGCTACACAACTTCCAGAAGCATTATCAACAGTTAGCATCTGTAAGCTTTATAGAATTGGACAAAAAGTGGATTCTGTAAGTACGTAGAAATGCCGCCTCTTAACAGTCACCTCTACTTTGGTTGAAGAAAGAAACCGAATGCTGGAAAACTCGCGCAAATTAACTGGACCCGCAATATATATCCATGAGGATCTCATGCCGGTTGATCGTATTGAGAGATGGCCGACAGATGTAGAACTAAACGAGCTCCACCCGAACGGTGAGAAAAACCTTTTACTTCAGGGTCTTCCCATTGTACAAATTCAGAGCAAAATGGACCTCAAACCAAGTTGAGTGATAAAAGAAAGCCCTTCACAGAACTGAAGGTGTGCTATTCAAATGCCTGCAGCCTAGAAAATAAAATGGCGGTGCTCAAGACAATGATAGACATAGAAAATTCTGATGTCATTGCCATCTCCCAAATATGGTCAACGTCGAAAGTCTGTAATAGTAGAATTCAATTGATTGATGTACTTCCCAGTGGAGCTGATAGATGAAACCTCAGGAGAAGTGGGGTTATACCATACACGAAAAGTACCTTAACCACACAAACTGTCGAGACAGTGCACATGACTCAGGGACATGTGAATTGGAACACCGCAGGCCGAAATTTAAGTGGTAAGTTATTGAATTGGTTGTAGTGAACCTCAGTCCATAATTTGTGGTAGATGACTCCCTTCTACACAAAAATCAGTCCCGGTGTAATGGGGCTGAAAGCCTTACAATAGGCTACTTCAATTCACCATATATAAACTGGGGAAACTTATAAGTAGGGTTATCAACAATATCATTTGATTGGAAATTGTTGGAAATCACAATCGCCCTAGCTTCATACCAGCATATTAGGGATCCCACTAGATATGAACCATAAAACTTCTCATCTCTCTTGAGCCTAATCTTCACACACGGTGATGATGTTGGTCAAGGGACTTTCCTCCTACTTCTGTGGTGAAGTGATCATTCTGTCAGACTACTCAAGTCTATGGCTGAAATGGTCTGTCGAATAGTTGCGTCGTTCGTCCTAGCATATGGATGGCAGACATGAAAGCAATTAACTCTGTAGCATCAGCCGAAAAATGGATCTTTGACTCAGGGGCATGGACTCATTTCGGGCAGTTATGCAACCACGTAACTCAATCACATATGCCCTGAATGGTCCCAAAGAATAAGAGGCACGGCCGTCCTTGGATTGACCGAGATAGTCGACGTTTACTAAGACAAAAGAAGAAATGTTGGAACATTTCTATCAGTCTTGGCAAACCAAGTGTGCCGAACACTACAGGTCGGTAAGAAATAAGGTTATAACTAAAATCCGGGAAGCTCAGTGGGACTATGAAATGCAGTTAACCCAGTCTTGTAACCAAGCAGCTTAAGAGACTATTCTCGCATATAAATTACGGAGCAACGGTGCAGCATTACATTCCCGACCTAGTTACGGAAGAGAGTGGATCTCAAGTGACAGAGAATGATCACAAAAAAGCAGAGGCTATGACAAACTATTTCGGGACAGTTTTTACCCACGAGTTCCTTCTAGACGAAGAACTAGACCCAAATATAAAAGTCAATAAAACGTCAGCGAATCATGGACTTTGATATGGACAATTTACTTTAGGCTTTTGGGATTTTATACAAGAAAAATTCAACAGAACCGGATGAGCTGCACCCCGAAATCTTGAGACAAATTGCACAATATATTCCTTCCTCACTAACTGCGATATTCAGTAACATCAACAAGGTGAGTTACCTACGGACTGAATGATGCAACTATCACTCCAATACACAAACTAGGACCA